CCTTGACTCAGCTCTATGAGTTCTACTACGACATTGTCCTCGGAGGACAATACACCTTCAAGATAAACGACATGCACGAACAATACGGCCCCATTGTCCGCATCAACCCCTGGGAGGTCCACGTGGGGGACCCCGACGTCTTCTCGGAGCTCTACACTGGCTCTGCCCGTCCCCGGGACAAGTGGGATTTCTACACTCAGCAGGTAAGACAGACGGCAAAACCTCCCTATACCAGACCAATAGCTAATCATATACAATAGTTTGGTGCTTCACGTAAGCGACTCTCACCTTTGGACATGTTGCCAGCTATGACTGACAATATCCCAGAGAGCGCTCTTGCGACCACCGACCACAACCCTCAAAAGTTGCGGCGAAGTGCGCTGAACCCTTTCTTCTCAACTCAAAATGTGCGCAACTTGCAGCCAGTGATTGAGGAGCGAGTGGATGCTCTGTTGGACTCATTTCAAAACTACGCGAATGTGTCGAATGGCCAGCCTCTTGACGTCATGTACCCTTTCTCGGCCTTCACTAATGGTATGCTGGAATGGGTTTTTTTTTGGTTTTTTTGGAGACGCAGGATGACTTACACATAATACAGACGTGATAAACGAGTATGCTTTTGCTCGAAGTGACCACCTGGGTAAGTTGGCAGCCTGCTTCCAATACAATGTCGACGGTGCTAATAAAATACAGTCGAGGAGTCGGATTTTGGCGCCGAGGTCACAAACAACCTGCTCATGGGCTCTCAAACGGGACCATGGGTGAAGCACATCAACATGGTGCACACACTTGTTAACGCTCTGCCCGAGTCCATTTCAAATCGATGCGTGCCTGGTAAGACACCCGACGTATCAACGTGCGAGCGAACAGTGCTAATCCCATGTAAAGGATGGGGAGGATTCTTGAAAATGAAGAATGATATCCTCGACCAAATCCAGAGTCTCGAGGCCCAGACAAATACTGACAAATGGATGCTCGACCGACCTACCATCTTCCAAAAGCTGCTCTCATCAAAGACGCACCTCGCCCGGGAAAAGATGCCGTCACGCCTCGCTCAGGAGGGTCAGACCCTTGTCCAAGGAGGGACTCTGACAACATCTTGGGCCATGTCACTAGCGACATTCCACCTCCTCAACCGCCCAGCCACGCTGAGCAAGCTGCGCGACGAACTCTTTGAGGCCATTCCCGACCCCAACGAGTCTGTCCCCTTGTCGAAGCTTGAAAGCCTTCCATACCTCCGTGGGGTTGTCAACGAAGCCCTGCGTCTTGGCATTGGAACCAGCAGTCAGCTGGCTCGTGTTGCACCCGACGAAACTCTCGTTTATCGCGACCGAGAAAACGACAAGGAGTGCCTTCTTCCCCCGGGCTCCGTTGTGGGTATGAGCCCCTACCAGACTGTCATGGACGACTCCATCTTCTATGATGCCAAAGGATTCCATCCCGAACGATGGGTCGACGACAGCGAGCACCTGGAGAAGTACCTGACAATATTCTGTGCTGGCAACCGGGTGTGCCTTGGCATGGCCCTCGCACATGCGGAGCTTTACCTGATGCTCAGCAAGCTGTTCAGACAGTGGGGAAGCGGTGGCGTCGTTTTCGGTAGCGACGAAGGAGATGTCCGAGACGGAGACTTGGGATATCTCAGTATTTACGAAACGCGGGTTCGAGATTGTGAAATGGCACCCGACTACTCCATCCCAATCCCATACAAGGTTGGTTCCTTCGGTCGTCTCCATTCACCACGCACAATGCTAACGGGCTATAGGGATCCGAAGGCCTCCGCTTCGTCTTTGAGGCTTACTGAACTCGAAAAATCCACAACCTAATGACTAGTAGGCTCTAGATGGCCCTGCTTTCTTTTCTGTTAGCGACGGAACGACTGTACGAATGGACGGACGGACTCAAGAGTGATGAACGAGGATTTATTATTATGAGTTGACGCTAGTTCCCAGTGTGGGCTACGATTTGCGTGTTTAGCTTTGCTTTTTCTGCATCATCTGCTTTGTCACAGTCTCTTTCTGGAGAGACTTTTGATTTTGATTTGTCCTTTCTGCTGTTCTGCTTTCTTGACTTGTTGGGAGTTTGTCCCGGTATCAGCATGAAGCTTCGTGTTCAGGGGGGTGAGGTGTTCCTAGACGGACTGCGCGGGCACATGGACAGCTCGCGGAGCCACACCAAATCTCCCATTGCCGACTATGGCGCACGGGCTGTTTCCTTTGTTGGATTTCTTTTACGAAATACCCGTCTGATCAATTGATGATCATGACATATTCCATACCTATCTACGGTCTGGGTCCCCTGCCAGGTGATGGGAGGAAACAGGGCTCATGAAAACGACAACCAAACAACAGATCAAACCAAACCAAACTAAAACAAACAAACGAACCATAAAATACAAAACATATTTATCTGACAAATGAAACAAAACCGGTGCAATCTCTCTCGTTATTCGACCTTGCCTCCAGAAGCTTAGCCAGTGCAGAATCACTGAACCCATGACGCCAATGAGCTCCAAGCTAGACTCCGGATGCGTTCAGATCCGACGATTGAGTATGGCCGATCCAAGTGGCTCGGCACAGCATGGCAACCCTCCCTCCTAGCGGAGCCTACTTCCCCCCCGAGCGCCGAGGCACAGCGCCCAGAAACCCCTAAAACACACTACCATGTATCCCCCCCCCCCTCCCTTAGGTACCGAGTACGTGCTACAGGGACAGGGGGCATCACTTATGGCACTGAAACGCCAACTACCGCATCCACCAACCATGGTTGGACCTGAACCTGGACCGGGACGGCGATTCGGCGGCGGCTCCATTTCGTCCGGCCGTCCAACCAGCGTAGCCTCAAATCGCGATGGGACGGCCATCTGACGATCGCGCGTTCCCACTCGTGTCCAAAGTGTCTTCTTCATTGCTTCTTCTTTTTCCTCAATTCCGCGTGTCCTTTTCTGATCATCTCTTTTACCGCGTCGTCTCCTATTTATTCATCCTCTGCTGTTGACCACCTAGCGCCCTCTTCGAATCTCCTCCTCCTGCCTTTGGCGCATTTGCCTGCCGCCATGGCGTCTGCCGATCCCGCTGCGAGGAAGAAGGTCCTCCGTGTCATCACAATCTCGCTGCTTCTGGACCTGGTAGGACACACCCCCAATGCATCCCTCTTAGATCCCGCTCTGACGCTCAAATCCAGATCTCCTTCACCTTCATCCTCCCGCTATTCCCCAAGCTCCTCGAGTTCTACCGCGACCACGAAGGCCCCGAGCTCGACCCCGATGGCCCTGCGACCCTCCTCCAGTCCGTCCTGCGCGGCCTGCATCGATACAAGGCGGCCTTTTCCCGCCCGATTGACTCGCGACATGACATTGTGCTGCTGGGCGGCGCTCTCGGCTCCCTGTTCTCGTAGGCTGACTCTGTCCACCCTGCGATATGCCACTTACTGACGGCGGCATCCGCGCTTAGACTCCTCCAGGCCGTTGCCTCCCCAATCATTGGTGCCTTCTCCGACCGGTACGGCCGACGCAAGGCTCTCCTGGCCTCCATGTGCGGCAACATCCTCTCCGTGCTGCTCTGGGTTGCTGCTGTCGATTTCCGAACATTCATCGCCAGTCGTGTTGTTGGCGGCCTCTCAGAGGGCAACGTCCAGCTCGCGACGGCTATGGCGAGCGACATCTCGGACGAGTCCAACCGCGGCGCGACCATGGCCATGATTGGCGCCTGCTTTTCCATCGCCTTCACTTTCGGCCCCGGCCTGGGCGCCTGGCTCAGCACCATCTCGACCGTGGCCGCCAACCCCTTTGCGACGGCGGCTGGCTTTAGCCTGGCGTTGATCGTCGTGGAGACGATCTACCTGTACTTCAGCCTCCCCGAGACACTGCCTTCTATGACCAGAGGAGAAACCAAGGACAAAGCTGCCAAGAAGGTGGCGCCCAAGACAATCGAGCGGACAAACTCCCACTTCCTCTTGAATGCGATCCACTTTGTCTTCTTGCTCTTCTTCTCCGGCATGGAGAGCTCGTTGTCCTTTATGACCTACGAGCTCTTTTCGTTCACGTCAGGGAAGAATGGAAGATTGCTCGGTTACGTCGGCCTCGTGGCATCTATTCTTCAGGGTGGTGTCACACGCCGTCTCCCTCCTCTGTTGTCGGTCCGCATTGGCGTCCTCGCCTGCCTCGCCTCTTTCATCCTTCTCAGCCAGGTGTCGAGCATCGGCGGACTGTACCTGGCGGCGACGTGCCTAGCAATGACCTCGGCTACCGTCGTTACCGGCCTTAATGCGCTGAGCAGCTTCGAGGCCCACCAAGACGAGCGCGGCAACAAGTTGGGCATGCTGCGAAGTTGGGGCCAGTTGGGTCGCGGGCTGGGACCGATCCTGTTCACGAGCGTGTACTGGTGGGCCGGTCGCGAGGTAGCATACGGCATGGGCGCGACAGGCATTGCCGTCGTGGCTGCGGCCGTGTTTTCGGGGTTGACGACGCCTAAGGCGATGTTGGTGGCCAAGGAGAAGAAGAAGATCGTCGAGAAGGCGCAATGATGAATTGATGGGTAATTAGGCACAGCATTCGAGTGTGTTGGATCATGACGGGACTGTACATTACGTATTTGACTGCACTGTGGATGGTGCTATTTGAAGCTGTAAGAGCGAGGGTGTCAGAGACATGGAATCATCTTGGCTGGGATGGATATTGTAGGTTAGATGGAAGCGATGCGTTGATGCCACAATAGAATCAATGAGATGAGAGCAGTCTTCGAGAGAGAATCGCTGTGTGTTAAAAAAGCTGTCTGGCCCAAACAACGTGGGCAAGGTTATGTGTGGCTAAACATTAACTCGAAGCCTTGCAGTGATGCTCTGCGCCAAACATCCAAAACACCACATACGTGCTCACGATGAACTACAACATGCTACAATCCAAAGAGAATAGGAAGGAGGTGCAGAGTCGACAAAGGGAAAACGTTGCCATACTATAAAGAAACCAAAATCGCAAAACCCATATATACCAAAAAGAAAAATACCCGCACCCGGATTTGCACCGAGATCCTTGGCTAGTTCCTATACTATTATAGGAATCCAACGAGTTGCTATTACTCTATACGGGTTCTACCGCTCGACCAGACGGGAGAGCCTGCTCGAATTGTTGAAGAGGCCGATGCCAATTGTGCTCTTTGAAGCGTTTGCGGCTGGGGAGAGGTGGTTGCCAGCTGGCCGCTGGGTGCTTGCAGGCTCAGGGGCAAGCCATAGCGAGGTTGGAGCGTGTTTTCTGGTGCTACGAGGAAATGAGAGACTCTGAGAGGTCGGTGTGGCTTTAGGTTGGATTTATCGGCGGGTTGTGCGACGACGAGGCAGATAACAGATGTTTGAGCCTTTGGGAAGGTAGTACAGCATTGAAGCCTCGTCTGAGCGGATCGATTCAAGGACTGTTTTACATTTTTGGATATAGATCAACAGCAAGGTAGGTAGGTGGGAAACTGGGAACCCTCTCACGCACGTCGTCGAATCCTCCGTTGTCAACTTGTCCCACTTTCACGATACATGCTCACAGCGAAGAACGACAAGTCATGATGAGGAGATGAGAGATCACCCGTAACTTGTGATGGTGGTTGTTTAATGAGTAAACAAACAAATAAAGTGGCAAGGGAAGCGTGTTTGTTTGGACAGGAGTTCAGAGATCCCAACAAGCAACAGTGAGAACACACGCTGGCGAACACCAAATGCTCCCCATGATATAGACTCATGCCTCTATCGCCAATACCAATACCAGAGCCATAATGAGTTGCAAGTCACAAATCATCAGAACGAAAGAGTTGACAAAGTCTCAATGCTGTCGCCATACAATGAGGCTGCGTTGATGGATCATTTTCTGCAGCCTCAGGCCTGTGAGACGCAAGCAGCGATTGGCCACAATTTTAAGACGCTGATAGGACAGCTACGTCAAGACGATGCCTGCGTACGTATCTTTTCATAGGTCATGGGGCGCAATTGTTCCACAAGACCGGGCACAGCACAATTCACTTGCCAATCATGCCACGGCCTAACGGAGAGTGAGACGCGGCCGCCACTTGAATCGCAGCTGTTCTTCTCTCTACCCCGTACTCCATTCTTCACCGTACCGCCATTCATGTCGTCCTGATGAAAGCACTATTCGATAATATGTATTGATTGGCGCTCTGGTAGAAGAGTTGAACCGATCTCGCGGCGAAATCCATCGTTAATGACCACACGCGAATAGGTGGGTGAGGTTAGTTGAGCATGCACTAGCGCTCGCGAACGACAAATGGGTGGATTATGGAGATACAGAGGGATCGCTTGATGTCCCATTATCCGTGATCATCATCGTCATCGCAGTTGGGAGTGGTTGCGAGAGCCGAAGATAAAGCTGGCTCTCCCTCCAACAGGGTTTTCTTCACTTGAATTTTGACATTCTGTTCTTACTTGTCTTGCACACAGAATGGATAAAAAGCCCGGTCTGATGTGTTTACACAACGAGATTGCAACAGCCCAGCTGGCCACACGATGACCACGGGATCTACAGGCAACCCTGCGTAGTGAGACCCATAGCGGGATGAGGAGCTTTGGAATCCTCACGGAACAGACAGGGGTGGTCACCGAATGAGGAGGATGAAGTGGGATCCTTAACTCTATGAGGCCTACACCTCGTTGAGAGCTGGGGAACTCCGCTGCGGCTAGGAATCTATGAGACAGCTAATTGGCTTGTACCTAACAATATGGACTATGCAGTTTCATTATGCCACACACCTCGCTCATATGTGAGAATGTAGGATCTTTGATGGGTTGTGCTACGTCTTGACTTAATAACATATTGTGTTCGCGTAGTTACCCTAGACAATGAGACCTGATGTTTACCAAGTGCAATGGTGAGTCAGGTCTAGATGCCGGGAAAGGACTTAGGCGAGCTACTTCTACAGTTGCATGATGAGTTGCCTGGACGAGATTGTGGTACGTTGCGTGGTGGTGCTGGATAACATGTGGCGCTTCTTTGGAGTTGGGTTCACGGTATGGAGCCACGGGGGCGGCAAGTCACGGAGGTGGGATGGAGACCAGAGCGACGAAGACACAAAAAGCAAGGGTGAAATCCACTCACGGAGCCACAGCGGACAAACATCTCCCGTTTCGATGCCTGTAGGAGAATAGCCGCCGATGAAATGCGGCCCTTGTTGAAACATTGGTGGGTGCTGCTCGGAGTGAAGGATAGGCCCATAGCGAAGTCCAAAGTCCAGAATCCACAGTCCATGCCACCAGTCCATGCCACAGCGAGCTGTACATATCGACAAGGCGGTGGGCGAGCAGCTCAGTAGGGTGGCCCATTTTTGACAATCCGGCGAGCTGCCAGTGGCTCGACGCAGACGAATTGACGTCCACTCGTTCTGCAAGCCGACTTGGCCGCTGAAGCATCGTGCTCTGATGGGAATGCTTCGGGCACGGCTTGCCGCGCAGGGGACTTGAGCTGCATGAGAGAGCTCGCGGGATCCACTGTGGCTGGCAATTTTTTCTCCCTCTCTCACTGATTCTGCCCCTCTCTTGCACTCTGCCCCTCCTTGCAACCCCTCCTGCAACCTTGGCCTTGGCCTTGTTTGGCTCGGAAATCTCCATTCTTTTGTGCGTTTTGTCCGGGGGGGTGGCCTCGCTAGTAGCTCCAGTAGCTTGCGCGGTGGAGCATGGGAGCAACAACACCAGCAGCAAGGGAGACCGTAGAGAGGGGGGAGGGGCCAAAGATTTTTTTCTGGTTCGCGAAAACGAGTCGGGGGATGGATGAGACACGCACTGAAGACAGTGACACGCACGTACGACATGGTGACACGGGCAGTGTTGCCAGCGGGGGGCTAGTTGATGAACCTCATGATCCGACTGTTATTTTTGCCCTGGGTTGTCTTTATTGCCTCAGTTGCTCTTGATTGAGGACTGAAGCCAGCTGGTTTGACAATAGTAGCAAAGCAGACAAGTGTCCAGCATCATTAACCCCTCCGATAAGCCATGGAGGGGCTGCTGCAGCGTAGCATGCCTGTCTTCCTGTCTGTCTGCCTGCCTCTCTGGCATGGGGGATCGTTTTTTTCTGTGACGAGCAAAACTTGGTGCGGCGGTGGCAACCGCTAGTGGTGGGGCATGACGTCCCTCCTAAGCATTTCTACAAGGGTGCCCGCGCAAAGATGCACGACAATGAAGAGGAGGGGCACCATTTGGCTGTAGGCTTGTGGCCGAGAAAGCTCCCCCCTCCCCCGCTTGCTCTCTCGAGGCCACGACGACAATCCCGTATGAATTTATGTGCGTGTGTGTGTGTGAGACCGCCGGGTGACTGGTGTTTGGCCAGCGGCTATTGATAAGACTGGATCAGAATTACGGCAGCAAACATTAAATCATGGATTGGAAAACTCCATCCGCTATAGTGTCACCCGTATTGACACGCGCCGAATTAACTTGCTATCCGTGACTCACGCCGACCTCTCCTCAAGTCCCGTTCGCGACGCACACCTCAGTCCAGTTCAGTTGCGTTGGGCTGACAGGCGGAGGGGCGAAGCAGGTTGGGCAGAAGGGTTCCACGGCCGACAAGACTTCCAGGTTGGAGCAGGGCAGGGGGGAGCGCAAGCATCAAGCCCACTCTGGCACTGAGCACCGAGCAGCCGCCACCACTTCCACACACCACGACACACCACAAACGCCCTTTGTTGAATTTTAGCCCGTCGTGAAATTTTTTCAATTCTCGTCCAGGTTCCATTGGGTGGCCCGTCGTGGGCGTGTAAGTCCCCGCAGGTATCTGCTAACAGATGCCATGTACCTCGCCCATCCTGACTGCCCCTCCACCCGTTTGGGGAGCCAGATACTGCTACGCAAGAGGTGTCGATTTTTTTTCGTCGAGGCTGGTAGAGAGGGTGGTACATGGCGTGGACGGCATAGATAGAACCACTTCCGTCGGCGCAAATAGTGATTTACTACGGATATCCTCGCGCCTTACGCAGAGGAGTGATTTATGTCGTTGCCCGTGCTCGCCTGCGTTTCGTGAAGCGCGCACGAAACAGCCCCCCCCGCTGGTTGCTGGGGCAAAGCGTGGCCGCGAGACATGCCGCTCCCGCTCCGGACAGAGACATTGCGCCAGGACGGCCATCAACGGCGACCGCAAGCCAGCTTGCGCTTCATCTGTAGCAGCGCACTCTCGAGATGCCATCCAGCTAGACTCTCTATTTGCCCCCGTTGTCCTCGTAGACTTGCGCCTGATGCCCCGTGAGATGCGACTCGCCCTCGCTCGGGGCTCCATGGCTAAACAACCCTCGTACCATTCCTCTGGCTTTGCCGTGTCCGCCTCGATCAACACGATGGACTGGACCGCTCTGGTACTGCCAGGCAGAGCGGCCACTGCCGCACTCTGATTGGGTCCAGCCCGTCAAAAACTACGAAGTGCGGCGGCCGAAAAAAACCTCAGTCCTGTTAGGGCTTGCCAGTCTGTGCCAGCTGTTGCCCCGCGCGCGCAGCTGCCTCTTCTCCCCACCCCTCCCCCTCCACCCAGCCCGCCCGCCGCCTTTTAAATCTTCTCCTCCCACCTCCTGCTTTGAATTTTTCTTCTCTTCTGCTCTTCGTCTCGCATACCCGGTTCAAGCATCCGATCTGCGATTTTGTATGTGCCCTTCAACCCAAGACGCCTTGCTCCTTCGCTTGGCCTCTCTTCCTTCTTCATCACCTTGGCCTGCTAACACGTCGGCTCCAGCACGACTTTAAAACACAAACCGAATCACACCTCACAACCGCCAAAATGGGTAAGGAGGAGAAGACTCACTTGAACGTCGTCGTCATCGTAAGTTGAACACTCACTACCATGCCTGCCTCGCCTTTACAGCTTGCTGACCTGACTCCTAGGGGTTCGTACTATCACCACACTCTCCGAGTCCTCACCAAACAGCTTGCTGACACCCTCGACAGCCACGTCGACTCTGGCAAGTCGACCACCGTGAGTACTCCCGCCAACATGACCGCCTTATCTCGGTTGCGTTACCCCGCCATGACCAGCGCGGGGTACTTCCATCACGGCTTGCTGACTTTCATCGATAGACTGGTCACTTGATCTACCAGTGCGGTGGTATCGACAAGCGAA